AAAATGTGGTTCATCTCCACATGATGTGACGAAGGAATAAATTGGTTTGTATTATTATTATTTGAAAACTGGAGGATATTTGAGAGGCTGCGGTTTATTAAAAGTTGAATATTAACAGACTCATGAAACAGAAATAGAGAATGTTTCTGTTCTGTTGAACAGTTCAGTTCAGAGTTCTCTGTTCATCCCAACAGGAATCAAATGTTGTCGTAACTCAGAGTATTATCAGCCTGGCGGGCCACCAGGCTCAGCTTTGCTACTTTATTTGAGTCTTTTTAAAATGTTTCCATGTTTAAGACTTCCAGCCATTAATCTTCCATCTTCCAATATTATTGTCAGGTGATATTTTCTGTCAACATTTTTAAACTCAGTTGCTGATGACTGACTGGACAATCACCAGCTGAACCAGTACTCTGGGGAAACCCAGTGGATGTTGATGCTGTGGGCAGGAAGCAGCTCCAGTAGCAGTCAGTTTCACAACGAATCTCAAGACGCCTCTGACTGAAGACCGTCTCATGATGGTCATGAAGTTGGAGCAGATTAATATCTGTGTGCAGATTAATATCGTGTGCAGATTAATATCTGTGTGCAGATAGCCTGTCTGCGTTAGCCGTGGATGGAACCAGGCTGATCCACCTCCTTTGCTTTTGCCACGCTTCTTTAAGGCTTTGTCAGGCTGTGCTGTCAGAAGGATTTGCATGTTTTGAGTGGATCTGACATGATGAAGGACACAGAGCAGCTTCTGAAACCCAACAAACTTCAAAACTGAAGAAAGTTGTTGAATGTAGAAAACCTTGAGCCGAGGTTTGTCGCCGTCCCGACGGTTTTCATCTCTAAAATCGCAGATTTCCTGCAGACATAGCAGATCGGCTGAGTTTCCCAGAGTGTTGTCGGGTCGAGCCGCGCCGAGTCTAAACAGTCTTTGTTTATCTCAGATTATACTTCCACTTTCATTTCCTCCACTTCTCCTTTTTTGTGGCCAAATGTGCTTCATCTGAGATAATTGGAAACGACAATTGGAAATTGCAGATATCCGGCTAATATGAGATGAAATATTACAATTTGCGGAGTTGGTGAAACATTTCTGCTGTCGGTGGCGTGGCTGCAGTTCGGGAGCCGACGTGTCCGTTACCGTTTGCAGCCGCGTGATGAATCTGTCTGGATGTGTGTGTCACAGATTCCTCTCCGTTTTCCTCTCCTTCGTCTTCGTCCTGCCGCTTCTCTCTCTGCGACGATCGCAGCAATCAGCAGGATTACTCATGACAGCCACTCAGCACCTCCTCTGCGAATCTTTATTATCCCGACCGGCTTTATTGGAATTTCCCCTCAGTGGAAAAACCAAATAGGATGATGGAAATAAGGAGAAATGATGAGGAGCGCTGAGGATACATGTTAAAGTTTTCAACATCTTGATTCTGCAGATAAATTTGATTCTTGTTTATCAGCCGTCCAGTTAAAGTTTCTCACATCAGAAATGAAAATTTACTTCATGGGGAAGTAATATATATTTGATATTCAACAGAACTACTGGAAAATAAACATTTATGGATTCATTAATTTGTCTTTTAGGCTGTTTTTGTGAAACACGTAGTGACAAAAAGGTAATAATTGTTCAGTAAAATGAAGCCTTTTGCTGTTTAAATACATTTTTTCATGATTGATAACTCCCTCTGGTGATGCATTCAAAGAACCTGGGACTTTCCTAAGTGTGTGTCGGTCCATGTTTCCATGAGGCAGTTTGATCAGGTGGGAAACTGGGCGTGGCATCGGCTCATTTCTCACTTATTTATATTTTCCTTCTCTGTCTGCGCCTCCTAGTTGAGCTAAATGAGGGACGGCTTCTTAAAATATAAAAACCCTCCATTAAAAATGTACGCCGCCCTGTCTGCCTGCCTCCCTGCTGCCATTTTGCATTTGGGAACCCAGGCGGCGATGAAAGGCAGAGCAAACGACGGAGCTGCAAGTAATAAACAAAGGAGCGAGAAGAAGGAGGTCGAGGAAGGAGCGCACACGCCGCCGAGCGCCGGCGACATTTTGTGATATTTGCATGAAGCGAGCGAGCGAGCGAGAGAGCGAGCGAGCGGGGAGTTTGGCATGTGGTGGGCAGGAGCCGCCGTCAGCCAGCTGGATTAACCGGCACTCTGGGATTTGATTCCCAGAATCACTTTATTTACTCCACAGCACATCAGCAAACTGAAGGTATCCGAACAGGACCGGATTAACCGGACCGGGTTCATACATAAACATAATGCAGTTATGTTAAAAGAAATCCGATTTAAATAAATTCATCCAGAAGGTTTGGAAGCCGATTCAGTTTCATAAAGTTTCTCCAGTTTGAATAAAATAATAATTCAGTAAAATCAAAGTCTTTCTTTCTCTGCAACTGAAATCAGTTCAGATTTCTTTACATCAAAGTTTTTTGTTGTATCCACATCAATTCACCGCAGGTTAGCCTGGGGTGTCCAAACTGTGGCCCGGGGGCCATTTGGGACCCTGAGAATGATTTCATGTGGCCCCGACTGCAGTTCAAGAACCACACAAATTTGATTCTCCACTTTTCCAAAGTCTGGACTAAAAGTGTATAAAAGCAAATTTCCCCACCTGATGGTCCAGTTGAGACTCAATCTGTTCCTGTCCAGCTGCTGCGGTTCTGACCCAAACCAGCCGGTTCCCCTCCCGGCCTGTGGGGGCGCTGCACCAAGAACCACTGAAGGAAGCAACACAAAAACCTCTGAAGATGCTGAGAGCAACTTCCTGCTCCACCACGTTCACCAGATTTTAGCGATTTAAGGATTTCTTTAGCCGGTTAGCGTTGGCTAGCTAGCATTTGTTTTGGTTGTATTTACCCAGAATGCCCTGCGCTGGAGTCAACTTCTTGTTTTTGGAGCGGTCTCTGGACGCTGGGCGTTCACATATGGATCGTAACCGAACCAGAGTTCGGTTTTCTGGTACGAACTGGACTTTCTAGGCAAACGGACCGGACTGGATAAACGCAGATGGAGCAGGAATCGCTGAACTAAAACCGTTTTTGCTGCCGAATGTGGAACAACCAGCTGACAGGTTCAGGGCGTTTCCTGTTTGCTGTCATCAGATTCTGCTGAAGATCCTGATGGAGAAAGTCCAACGATCAGGTTCCCCGAAACTCAAGAAAGTTTCCATAGTTCAGAGTGATGTCATCACGTCCAGGGCGGCCATCTTGTGTTGAAGCTTCATTTATTTAGACTTTTAGGTCAACTTTACAACAAAATATAAGAATAAATATTAATATTAGAGAACTCTAACATGGAAAATGTCTGTAATTTGATTTTTAAAAGAGAAAGAAACATTATTGTTTATTAATGGATCTGATGTGGAATGAAAGAAATTTCAGATTTTTATCCAGATTTATTTAAATCTGAAGGAGAAACACAAGTTTCATTATTTCAAAACAGCTTTTCGCAGCTCAGAGAATGATCCTTTCTCTGATATTAAAATTAGTTTGATCTGAAATATTTAAAAACAATAAAGAAAAAACAGGCGAATTTGGACCTTCCGTCTCGGTCCAGATCCAGTGACCTGCCGAAGCGTCCCAAATTAAAAACAAAGCTGAATGAGCGGGCGTTTGGAGGCGCGTGGCGCCCGCAGACGTTGGCACCCCAATCAGCCGAACGCAGAACGAGTCGGGACCCATCCGGCGCCAACGCCGCCAGTCCCGGCTGGAAGCCGCGCGCAGCCCTGGGAATTACAATCCCACAATTAAACATATGGGCATTAAGATAATTGTCAGTTGTGCTCTGTGTGTGTGTGTGTGTGTGTGTGTGTGTGTGTGTGTGTGTGTGTGTGTGTGTGTGTGTGTGTGTGTGTGTGTGTGTGTGAGACAGATGGACAGGATTCAGTAAACTACTCACACACCCCTGGGGAAAAACAGGGAAAAACAAAAACCCCAGACTTCCAGAACAAAAAGAAATTTAAATTTCTGACGTCTAAATTTGAATTTGAATCTGAACTTGACATAAAACTGATAAAGAGAAGACGGAGCGCGGCGGTGGCTCCGAAACTCCTGAAGAAGAAGTTCTGTTAGAAAGATGGACGGTGCCCTCTGCTGGGCGCAGGCGGAACTGCAACATCTGCAGACGAGCAGAAAAAGATGCAAACAAAAGAATAAAAATCACTTTTAAGCTATTAATTTTAGGAAATAATGCTTTATTTAGAAAAATTAATTTTATAGGGAGGATAATTCATAGTAAAACAATTGCATGTGTAATAATCAAAGAAGTCCTAGTTCTTCCTTTGCTGTCATCTAAAACGTTCAATAACATCAAATTTCTTCAGAATAATGAGAAAAACATCAAAATCATTTAAAAATATTTTAATATGAATTTACAATAAAACTTCAGTTATTCAGGTGCAAACAAACACCAACGACTCGTATTTCCTATTTCTTTAATTCAAAGATTATTTTCTTCTTGTGTTAAACTGATTAATTTAATCCAATGAATTACAAAACATTACAGTCCAGATTAATACAAATAATCTCTGCTCTCCAGATTAATCAGGTCTAAATTAATCTGCATTTTGCTTGTCCACATCATCCAGTCCAATTTATTTCCAATTACATGATATTTATTAAAATAAATTAGACCAACTCAGTCCAATTTCTGTTTAATCCAACAGATTTAGCATGAAATGTCAAATTTAAGATTATTAAAAATATTTAATTCCTAAATTTACACTTTCCATAATCCAGGTGTTTTTTATTTTAATCCAGTTTAATCCAGTAAATTCACCATAACTGGAGAAAAACATCAATGTAAACATCCTGTAATTTTTAATCTGTAATGTTTGATCTGTGATGTTTGATCTGTGATGTTTGATCTGTGATGTTTGATCTGTGATGTTTGATCTGTGATGTTTAATCTGTGATGTTTGATCTGTGAAGTTCTCCGCTCCCTGCAGCGTTCAGGTTCGCCACAGCGCCCTCTGCAGGCCGGATGTGACAGCTCTCCTCTGTCTGTCTGCAGGTGGGCTCTCACAGAGAAGATGGCGGCAGCGTGGGCAGTTTACGCGGCGGCCACTCCATGGGGGGTCAGGTGTCGGTTCCTCAGCTGCCGGTCCAGTCGGCGACCTCACCGGACCTCAGCCAGCCCGACCCGTACCGCGGTAAGGCCCGGCGCCGGTCCGACCCGGCAGGATCCATCTGAGCAAATGATGCTGAAGCATTAAATGTTTCCAAAAACATTTTTAAATCAAACATTTCAGTGCATTTCTTCCTGATGAACCAAACTGCCTTCATTTCTTCCTAACCTGTTAGCAATGCAGAAAATAAAGAAATCAGCTGCAAGCAAAGCTGAAAATGAGTCAAAAAGTTTTTGTGACTAAATTTGAGGAGCATTTCACTGCCAGAGCGTTAAAAAGCCGAGCAAATCTGCAGAGTGAATATTGAGGAGGAAGGCAGTCTGAGCTCAGTGTGCAGCAAATTAGCCCTGAGCTGGGCTGTTTTTATAAGGCTGAAAATGAGTCCGCTGGCAGCAGAGTTCATCCAGCGGCGACCGCAGCCAGCTGGGTAATGAGGTGAGAGGAGAAGAAACGCTGGGCTCTGGCAGAACAACCAGGAGCCGCGCGTTTATTCTGCAGCCCTTCATAAACAGCCGAGGCGGCAAACCTCACAGGGAAACTCACCTTCATCACCTGTTCATGTAGAGAGACGGATCACAAGGTACCCACCCGTTATTAGAAGATTACTGGCTGGAAATGATGCAGCTGTCATCACTGAACGCAGAGAGCAAAGGCCAAACATCAATACTATTATTATTATTACAGTAATCTGCTATTTTAATGGTTTAAATCAGGGGGTCCAAAAGTAGGGGTCAAGATCCCCAGAGGGGTCATGAGACACCAAGCGGGGTCACAAAATAAGTTACAGAATCTTAGTGATGGAAGGAGGGAGGGTTGGTTCGTTGGTTGGTTGGTTGGTTGGTTGGTTGGTTGGTTGGTTGGTTGGTTGGTTTGGTTGGATGGTTGGTTGGTTGGATGGTTGGTTGGTTGGTTGGTTGGTTGGTTGGTTGGATGGTTGGTTGGTTGGTTGGTTGGATGGTTGGTTGGTTGGTTGGTTGGTTCGTTGGTTGGTTGGTTGGATGGTTGGTTGGTTGGTTGGTTGGTTGGATGGATGGTTGGTTGGTTGGTGGTTGGTTGTTGGTTGGTTGGTTGGTTGGTTCGTTTGGTCGGTTTGTTGGTTGGATGGGTTGGTTGGTTGGTTGGATGGTTGGTTGGTTGGTTGGTTGGATGGATGGTTGGTTGGTTGGTTGGTTGGTTGGTTGGTTGGTTGGTTGGTTGGTTGGTTGGTTGGTTGGTTGGTTGGTTGGTTGGTTGGTTGGATGGTTGGTTGGTTGGTTGGTTGGTTGGTTGGTTGGTTGGTTGGTTGGTTGGATGGATGGATGGTTGGTTGGATGGATGGTTGGTTGGTTGGTTGGTTGGTTGGTTGGTTGGATGGTTGGTTGGTTGGTTGGTTGGTTGGTTGGATGGTTGGTTGGTTGGTTGGTTGGATGGTTGGTTGGTTGGTTGGTTGGTTGGATGGATGGTTGGTTGGTTGGTTGGTTGGTTGGTTGGTTGGTTGGTTGGTTGGTTGGTTGGTTGGTTGGTTGGTTGGTTGGATGGTTGGTTGGTTGGTTGGTTGGATGGATGGATGGATGGTTGGTTGGATGGATGGTTGGTTGGTTGGTTGGTTGGTTGGTTGGTTGGTTGGTTGGTTGGTTGGTTGGTTGGATGGATGGATGGTTGGTTGGTTGGTTGGTTGGTTGGTTGGTTGGTTGGTTGGTTGGTTGGTTGGATGGATGGTTGGTTGGTTGGTTGGTTGGTTGGTTGGTTGGTTGGTTGGTTGGATGGTTGGATGGATGGTTGGTTGGTTGGTTGGTTGGTTGGTTGGTTGGTTGGTTGGTTGGTTGGTTGGGTGGGTGGGTGGGTGGGTGGGTGGGTGGGTGGATGGATGGTTGGATGGATGGTTGGTTGGCTGGTTGGTTGGTTGGTTGGTTGGTTGGTTGGTTGGTTGGTTGGTTGGTTGGTTGGTTGGTTGGTTGGTTGGTTGGTTGGTTGGATGGATGGATGGTTGGTTGGTTGGTTGGTTGGATTCTGCTGGATAATCAGCAGCAGTTGCATGGTGTCATCAGTTAATCTTTCGTTTGAAGTACTGAGGATGAGGTTAGTTTCTCCCCAGTTTGTTCCATTTGACTTTTGACCCCTGTTTTCCCCCTGCAGCCCTGTCCGGCGGCCTCCAGGGTCAGAGCACGTCCTCAGTGAGCTCAGAGATCAAGTCTGAGGACGAGGGAGACGAGAACCTGCTGCAGGACACCAAGCCGCTGGACAAGAAGGACGACCTGGACAAGGAGCTCAAGGCCATAGAGAGGTCAAGATCTAGGTAACCCCGCCCACCGCCCAGACGTTCGCTTCCATCAAACCCCTCAGCTGGCCTGGGACGCACGTCTTCCCAGCGTACCCCCACCCCGGCGGCGCGCCCAGGGCGCTCCGCCGGGGTGGGGGTACGCTGGGAACCAGCCTCTGAACTTGATGAAGTGATCAAGTGTGATGAGAATCAGCTGAAAACCTCAGAGACTTCCTGCCTCCACCAGGCGTCCGCCTCTTAGTGCTCCCTCTACTGGCAGCTTGTAAAGTTCAGGTTGTGACTTTCATTAAAAATATGTTTTACATATTTGTTGACTGTTGCTACGTTTGAGACAGATAATCTGAGAAACGATCGATCTCCTCACATGTTGTGAATGCTAAGCTAGTTAGCATAGCCACCCATGACAGCAGCGGTTAAAACAGTTTCTCAGTAACAGTAAGTTGTTTCTCCGGCGTTCGGATATTAAGGAGCGCAATGACGACGATGATTGACAGCGCTAAGCCCCGCCTCCTGGCTCTGATTGGCTGTATCTTCCGATGACAGTTCGAGCTTAGAGAGAAGGTGGATTTTTTCACAGATTATCTGTCTCATATTAAACTGGATATTTTTTCATGAAAGTTGCTGCGGCTTTAAGGACGGGAGGCGGATCTGAGTGGAAGAGCAGCTGCTGGGTAACTTGGTGTCTCTCCACGGTCTTGAGCCTGGATTCAGCTGCTTCTCACACAACAGAGTAGAGCCCTCCGTTCATATTCCCAACCAACGCCGCCCCGCTGCGCCCTGGGCGGGAAGCCGACCGCACGGCGACCCGGCCCGGCTGCGGCCGGTCGGCTTCGCTCCTCCAGAGATAACGAAACGTTTATCTGGTTCCTTTGTTGACCTGGAGGACGACCAGATCTGAAACATTTGGATCCTGAACCCTGAGTTTATACCGATGGTGGCGGCCATGTTTAATGTGATGATGATGATGATGATGATGGTGATGATGATGATGATGATGATGATGATGATGATGATGATGATGATGATGATGATGATGTTTTAATGTTGAAAATGTTTTCTGCTTTGATTTAGTTTGTTCAAAATCAAAGAATTGATTTATTTAAACTTTGGGCCAATATTCATATTCATATTGTTCCCCATTGACCTCTCTATATAAATATGTCTATCTAGAGGATTTCACTGATTTTCAGAATGTTTTTGGCAATCAATGATTTTTCTAAACCTACTTTAGAATATTTGAAGAAATTTCTCAATATTCTTTCCTCTATTATGAGAGAATATCACCATAAAAGGCCAAAAGACTCGGAGACACTGTTAGTTTGTTTTCGTCATTAGCTGGATTGTTTCGAAGTCCTGCTATAGCTGATGATTTATATATAATTTATGAACTTTTTACTTTTTATGCAAGACTTTCCTAAATTCATTTTTTAAAATTTGGCCTAAAATACATGAATCTCCTGCTAAATTTTGTCATAGCAAGAAATTCATATCTTCTATGTAGGTTTTTGGAGCCACTGGGTTTGATGACTCAAGGTGGCTAAAGCTAACCGTAACAAGCTAATCCTTGATAGCTAATTAACTAGCTAGCTTTTTAGCTAATTAACTAGCTAGCTTTCTAGCTAAGAAACTAGCTAGTTTACTAGCTAATTAACTAGCTAGCTTTCTAGCTAATTAACTAGCTAGCTTACTAGCTAATTAACTAGCTAGCTTTCTAGCTAAGAAACTAGCTAGTTTACTAGCTAATTAACTAGCTAGCTTTCTAGCTAATTAACTAGCTAGATTTCTAGCTAAGTAACTAGCTAGCTTACTAGCTAATTAACTAGCTAGCTTACTAGCTAGCTTGCTAGCTAGCTCTACGCCACGTGAGAAGAACAAAGTTGATGCCGAGAGCCCAAAACAACCCAAAAGATTTGGTTTTGTTCCCCTGCATTTCTTTTGAACTTCTCTGTTGTGACATTGGTCTTAAATTTTATTCATAAAGGTCTTAAAAAGTCTTACGTTTGCGTTGGTGGAACCTGCACAAACCGTGTCAATGTAAACTGACCTTCTATCCTGAAATCTGCTGCCTCCCTCCCGGTTCTCCTCTTCCTCCCTCGCTGCTCCTCTTTCGTCACTCCAGCAACAACGACGACGAGGATCTGAGTCCGGAGCAGAAGATGGAGCGGGAGCGAGAGCGCAGGATGGCCAACAACGCCCGGGAGCGGCTGCGCGTCCGCGACATCAACGAGGCGTTCAAGGAGCTGGGCAGGATGGTGCAGCTCCACCTGAAGAGCGACAAGCCGCAGACCAAGCTGCTGATCCTGCACCAGGCCGTCGCCGTCATCCTGAGTCTGGAGCAGCAAGTCAGAGGTCAGCACCACAACCTGGAGCCTGCACTGACAGGCTGGGCCAGCAGGGGCAGCAGCAGCAACACCTGTTGCTTCAGTTTGCTATTTACACAAGATAGATCATTTGTGATCAACATGATAAAAAAATAGTTTTTTGTTTGGTCTGTTTTAGAATTTTGACTCATTTTCTGATAAGTCAGAATTATGTTTTTAAACTGATAATTCAGAGAGAAAAAATCTGAATTCTGAAATTAAAGTCAAAATTTAGAAGAAAGTAAAAATTTAAGTCAGAATTTTGAGTTTGGAGTAAAGATTCTGAGAAAAAAATGTGGAATTCTGAAACTCGATAAAAAAATTAAATTCAGATTTTTTTCTTAGATAAAAAAAAGTCAGAATTTTGAGATTGAATTTAAAAGAATTTTGAGGAAAGTCAGAATTTTGAGGGTCCGGTAAAAATTTTGAGAAGTCATATTTTTTTTTTTGGTGGCACTAATCCTCTTCCGTATAGAAGAAAGTTTTGGAAATCAGAAGACGAATGATTTTCGTTGTTCTTGTGTCCAGAGAGGAACCTGAACCCCAAGGCGGCTTGTCTGAAGCGCCGCGAAGAGGAGAAGGTCACCGTCACGTCCGATGGGACGCCCCTCTCGCTGGCCGCCGCCCACCACGCCGCCGCCATGGGCGATGGACCAAACCCCATGGGACAAATGTAAACCGCAGCAAACTCTCCTCCCCCTGAATGGTCAGAAGATTTCACTTCTGCACTAACCTGCTGTCGTATCTTTAACTCAGATCATCAGCTTCCTAAATTTCAGGCCAAAAAACTCATTTCTCATCGTTTGGCTTCGATTATTCAGCTTCACGTTTTCAGGATTAAACAGGAAATAAAATGATGAACCAGGAAAATGAACATTTCATACAAAATCACAAATAAACACTGAATGCTGAACAAGTTGAAGTGAACAGCAGAAAATTATTCATACTTTCAAGGATTCAAGAACAAAACTGATAAAAAAATTAAATTTTTACTGAAAATTGTCAAAAACTGTTGAGTCAAATATTTGCAGAAACTTTAAAAAGCATTAGAAATAAAAAGTGAAGATTAAAAAAAACAGAATCATTAGAAACATTTGATTGAAAAGGGATTTTAACTGCTGAAAACTGGTTTTTATATCAAATTTTGGTTTTAAGTTTGCTGTGAAACTAAAATATGATAAATATAAATATAGCTACACGTTCTTCCAGGCTGGAAGCAGGAATGAAACTTCCTGGTTTGATTTTTAAATCGACGGCAACAATTCACTTTTAATTTATAATCATTCAGTAAAAACGTCTCTGATTGGCTGAACTGCCTCTAACTCTATTTCCTTTTCCACTTGAAAACAGATTTTTACTTTTGAATTGTTTTTCTCTCCTAGATGAACTGAAGGAGTTGCTGCTGAATAACTTTTGACTTTTCTTTACTGTAGAAAGACGCCGGATTCTTCTTCTGTGGTTTTTTCTTTTGTTGTCTTTTCTAACTCGTCGGCAGGAAATTAAAGTTGCAACATTTTCATGAAACAAAGCAGAAAAAATAATTTACCACAAATATGAGAAAAAGTTTTGGTAGCCTAGAACAGCGGTTCCCAACGTACGGGTCGGGGACCCGAGAGGGGACACGAGATTACTGAGATATAAAAAAAGGAAAAAATACGACTGAAAAAAGAAAAACGCTTTTTGTTTTGAAAAGTTCTGGGAGTTTTTCCAAATAAATCTGGACCTTTCAGATGACTGCAGGCGGCTGCATGTGGCCCCCGCGCCTCACCTTGGACACCCCTGGCGTAGCGTCTCGTAAAGTCGCCTCTTCTGACCCGGTTTCCGTTTCCTCCGCAGGTCCAAGGTGCCAGAGTTCATCAGGATGATGAGTGACCACTTCCTCTGACGGCGTTCTCCTCCAACCAATCAGGCGCCGCCTCTCGCTCCAGCCCGACCAAGTAGTTCCTCCGGGTCAGATCCGCCTTCGTCTCCTCTGTGATCTGTCGTCTCCTCTTCGCTGCCATTTCTTCTTCTTCTTCTTCTTCAGTCGAGAAAATCGGACTTCAGAATCGCATTCGTCGCTTTCCGGACGTTTCGAAACGACAACGGACAAATTTCTTTGGATCCGCCCAGGAACTCTTGTGCTACGTGTTTTATCAGCATTCCCAGGACAAAAGGCTCTATATAAATATATATAGTAAATATATATATATATGTGTGTAAGAAAACAGAAAAAGTTTAAAACTTGAGTCGGGCAGCGAGGAAGGTTGGGGTTCAGGAGGGAGCAAACATATCACAAAGTGTTTAAAGAGATTCTTGTTTTTTAACGCAACATTTGCGCAGCGGTTGAACGCAGCCTCGACACGGCACTCTAGCGCCGCACTGTGGATGAAGCTGTGCCTCACCTCCTCTCGGATAGACGCACACGGAGAGGATTCTGACAAAAAACTCCCTCAAACTTCCCCAGGAAAGCTTAGGAAGAAGACAAACCGGCACCCCGCAGGAGCGCTTAGGTGCTTCTCTCCAAACCTGCACAAACTCATCATGTTTCTGTAAAAGTACAAAAAACGCTCGGGAATCAGCGACCAAACGGCCCGGACAGAGCGAGGAGGCACTGAGCAGACCAAACAGCGCTAACGCTAGCTTAGCTCGACAAATCATGGAGAGATGAAGGGAAACTTGGACTGGACAGCAAAGCGAATCACATTCCTCGAGCCTCGCTACTTGAATCAAGAGCTCCGACACGGAAACACGACGCGAGGGTCAGAGGAGGCCAGGGAACGATCGCCACAGCGATTCCCGCTCCGATCCCAATCCTGCCCACGCTCCGACACCAGTGAAAGGGGGCTTCAAGATGGCCGCCGCCGCAGGGCGTCAAAGTTCAGAACCAGGGAGGATTTTCACCAGCAGCCTGAGGTCAAAGCAGGAAGTGGAAATCTTTACTTCCTGTTCCAGAGAGGCAGTTAAACAAGAAATTCAACTAAATTCAAACATGAACAAAAAAATCATGACGATAATAAATATTCCTGGACGATCAGAAGTTATTGTGATAAACGATAATATTGTTTTTTCATTTTCAACCAAAAGTACAAAAATATTTGGCAAAGACGTTTAATACTGAGTAACTGATGAAATTATCAATTATTTAATATTTGAAAATGACATCAGACTGTCTTCAGTCAGAGGCGTCTTCAGGTTCACTGTAACACTGACTGCTACAGGAGATCTTTCCTGCCAACAGCAGCATTCGCTTCAACAACTCCTTCAGTTGAGCCAAAATATAAAATTAAGTGAATATTTAGTATTTTAGGGAACAAAATGACAATAATTTATATGAGCAGCAAAAGAAACAAAATAAATTTTTTCCAAATGAGTTTAAGGAAAAAAACTCTTGAAACTTGAGAGAAAGTCCAGATGTTTCTGGTTTTAGTTAAAACATTTTGGTTTTCATTTTACTCAAGTAAAAGTAGAAAAAGTTTCTCCAGTAACTGAGATCATCAGCAACGATCCGCTCAGAACTCACATTTCCCAGTCTGAAGCCTCCTTTCACCCCAGTCTGACCAATCCACCCAGTGACTGGACTGAACTGGCCTTACCCCCACAGATGCAATCTGAACACTGACAGTTGAACCGACGTGCCTTTCTTAGAGTCCATATCATGGAGGAAGACGTTTCCTGGTCTTTAATAGGATGCAAGCTTAGGGAACCTGTTGTTAGCGGTTAGCTTCTATGCAGTCGGGTTTTTTACCAGACCTGGGAATTTAAAAAAGATAAAAAGGTTAAAAAAGTATTTTTTGGATAAAAAAATAAAACAAAAAAATAAACTGTATTTAATGTACTGTATGCTGACCTGTAAGTAGACGGCGTGTTCTGGAGTAGACGCTTCGATTTAGCGAGACCAGCCCCTGTCCCAGTCCTCCCAGTCCTCCCAGTCCTCCATAGTCCCAACCCCAGGTTCCTGTCCCAACCCTCCAAACTGCGTCTCTTCTTGTATTATAGCTTATCGGCTTTTTATCAATATTTGATCGGCTTGTCCGTAAGCCAATGTAGTCTTCAGTACTCAGTGTGTGGTTGTTTGTTGTAAAACTATTTCTTTTTTTTTTGCCCCTCTTCTTCTCTTGCTCTTTCTTTTTTTAAACAATGATTTTTGTTTCTTATTACTTTTTTGTCTGTTCTGGTTTACATGTCTAATAGAAAACCTGTAAAAAGAATAAAAAAACAAACGAAAGGGAAACAAAAGAACACAATTCGCCATCCATCGTTCAAACCCCAAACATCCCACAGGAAGCCAAGGAAACTGGAAAGAATCTATTTGAATAAATAAATCGATCTATTATAAATGTACAAAAGTATATACGATATATAACGAGGGTGCCGTTTCTGTTTTCTATTGATATTATCAGTGTTTGTTTTTGGGGAGGAGTTATTTTGTCACAGACTGAAAGGCGACGCCCCTCAGTGTTAGAGATTTTCACCTCGACTGCTTCGTACGGCATCCTGCACGGGACAAAAGTAACGGGACCGGAGTTCCACAACAACAACACACAGACATTTGTAAATTGTATGCAACAAAAATTGCAAACTTTACCATTATTTTGAAATTGTGTATGTAAAAGTTATATTTTTACATGTAGACGGTTGTTATTTTGTGTTTTTAGAAATATGTTGTACCGTTTTCTTTTTTGTTTTTTTGTTAAAAGATAAAAACAAGTACAATTCAGTGTGTGTTGAAAAAAATGTGTCACATTGAAAATGTAGTGAGATCAAAAGTTCAGAACTCATTTGTTTGATTTTTTAATTTTTACTACGTTTTAAGGGTTTCCAGTCCAGGAATCGGAAGTGAAAATATTCCCGTTTGTTTTTCCCTCGCAGCGTTTTTACGTCTTCAGTTGCAGAAATGTGTGTAAATAGTCATCAGCCGGTTTCCGTGAAAACGCTAGAGACACGACAGCCAGCGCTGATTTTTACCGGTGCCAACGTTTGGTTCTGGTTCGGTCAGAGCCGACTCGCCAACAACCCATAGATTCCTGCCAAAAATCACAGCGTTTGAATATTTTTTTTAAACTGTAAAAGCGAGTTGAACACATCTGTGGAAACGTTTTTTGGATGGTTGAACAAATTTTTGGACAAATTTCAACTATGGTAGCCAAAGAGTGTAAATCAGCTCGGCGCCCCCTGGTGGCTGTGGGTCGACTATGACTGCTTTTGTTATCTGGAAGAAGGCGAGTAAATGTTGAATGAATGGGAAAGCCTCAGCACCTGATTGGAGATTAATATATGATGATGATATTAGGAGAAGATTGGAGTATTGCTAATATAAGGAGCAGATCTCTGCCAACAATCTCATCAGCTATTTCCCCAAAAACGGATGGGATGGAGATGGAGGCGGCTGCAGTCGCAGTTTTTAGTGTTTGCCGTTCAGATTGAGCTGCTCTGACTTGGACCTGCGTCAAACACTAGGATCCAATCTGCTAAATGTATTTTAATTAATGTCATTTTTGAAGTTTTCATTTCATATTTTCTTTGTTGTATACTCGTCTCCCAAATTACAGGATCCTGATTTTGTGTCCATGGGCTCTATTAGCGGAGCCGCTAACTTTTCGTTCCTTGTTGTACATACACGCCTCATTTCTCTTTTCAGTGACTGTGCCATGAGCTTTGTAATCTGTTAATCTGTACCAGTTTAACTGCAATAATGAGTTGAATTCAAAATGGACTTTTTTCTGTCGTTTTTCTGTTTGTTCATGTGTGATCGCGTGTTTTATCAAAAAGGACAGTTGACATGATAAACCATACAGTTTCAGTAAGAAGTTGACATTTAGTCCATCTGATTTATTTCAAACTCAAAATGTTTCATTTAAATTTAAATGTTCTGGTTGCTGAAACAAAAAGGGAATTTTATTATTTGACCGTAAAAAGAAGCATATTGAACTATGAAGTTATAAAAACCAACAAACAAATAACAACGGAAAACATTTATGTATAATTTCCAATCACTTCATTAATTTCTTATTACTTCTAATAAAATTTTATTTGAGGAGTTAAAGTTTTAGCTTTAGCTTCTAAACACCATATTAGCGTAGCGTGTTAGCGTTAGCAGAGGTAATGTTTATGATTACTGTTAATAACTGTAGAGTAGTAGGAAAAGTTAGGGTTAGAGGTTAGGGTGAGGGGTCAGAGGTTAGAGGTTAGGGTTAAGTCATCAATGCTCTAAAGGTAGAGCCCTGAGCTCTCAGTGTTTTCTCTGTTTACCTGTCGGCCATGTTGAGAGCTCCAGCCTGGAGCCTCTGGGCCTCAGCTGAAGGTGAGCCGCCGCCGCTCAGGATGACGGATGAGATGTGTCACTCAGCAGGTTGTTCGGTTTGTTCCCACCGGCCATCTGACGCTGCAGGAAAAATAGTTCACATTCTTCAAAGTATTCGTTTTAATATGAATCCATCAGTCGACTTCAAACCCAGACGTCGGTGGATGATTCCAGATCAGCAGCTGATGGACACGACTTAAAGGACGACCTTTCCTCACTGCAACAAAATCACATTTTTCACAACAAATGTCAAAATTGATGACTGAATGTTGGTTTCTGTAGAAAGTTATTCATAATCTTTAATATTAAAGGACAAAAAGAATTTTGAAAAACAACCAGAATTTGTAGAGTGATAGAAAAAACTAAAATCGTGTTTAAATCATAACTATTATCTAATCATATCATGAGATTTCACTCTGCTCAGTTCTGTTCTGATTGGTTTTAGGGCCTCTGTCACTTTAAATCCAAAAAATCTGATGCTGGCCACGCCCCCTACTGTTGGCCACGCCCCCATAGCAACATTTTCACATTTACATTCGCATGTGAAAACTGATGCAAACAGATGCAGTTATACAGCCATACGTGTTGGAAAAGCAGAAGTGGAGCTTCCTTTACAACCAACCAGAACACAGCCAGTGGTTTCTGGATGGTGAGTCGACAACGAAACACTCGTCTTTTCCAGCAGCCATTGTACAGAACATAGAGCAGGAAAACCAGCTGATCAAATGAAACGGAGTTCTGCTGGGGTTGCTAGGTAACAGCCTGATTGGTGTCGTTACATTTGGAGGTTTTCAAGTCGCTCGTTTTCCAGACATCAGAAAACATTAATTTACTGACAAAAACCAGCAGGATTTTTTTTAAGTGCT